TAAAATCTTTCGTGTCCTCGTCCACGTGCATGCAAACCTGGAACAATGCAGTCAAACCAGACATGGGACGAATAAAATGATTACATACATCACTTGCCATTTTTTTTGACGTTCATTAGATGTTCTGCAAAGCCCCGGCGCTTGCATTGGCAACAACAACCTGCAACCGGCCTGTTCTGATGCGTTCAAGTTCACCTTGCGGTTTGAGGACTTCTCAGCTGAGTCACTCTAGCTAGGAACGACAACTGGATTCCGACCATCTCTGAAGCTTTGTCTGCCCTCAGCTCAGGAGCTTCTCTTCCGCTTCGGCAGAACACCGTACGTAGGCGACCCATTGCGGTGTTTAGCCAAAGGAGTCAGGCTTTGTTTACTACTCCCTGGCACAAACGCAAGTTGCGCATCAATGTCAGTGCAAATTCGGTGCATATCTGGCATCCTGGAGTGGGACGTCTGGGGCCTAGGGTGTCGTGGTCATGGGCTTCGGGCACGCCGCATGTGTGTTACTTACCCTGGGCAAGCTGACACGTGGAAAATTGTGGAAAGTGGCCGCGCAAGTTGACTCGGGCGACCGAGCTGACCATCAAACGTGCAGCTGCACTGTTCGACAAACTGTGGCGGCACCCCGCAGGAGTTGGCTGCCAAGAGGTGGACTCGGTCCAACAGCGGATGCCTCTGCAAGCTTCGCCGCCTTGCCTTGCGGACCTCTGAAGGCACAACACATCACAAGGCGCGGCCTGAACCTTTGAATCCAAATTACCCAGGGGCGTCCCAGCCTCAAGGCACGAGCATGGGCGAACGCTAAGAAGGCAAATCCCCAGTCCCCCAGAGTCGATGGCTCCACCTGTTTCACAACCCAGGGTCGCACCTTTTCGCGAACCTGGGTCACAAAGCAATCACACAACTAAGTAAGACTGTCGACTGATGGGCGCCTTCTGGTATAGAGCTGGGGACAGGCCTGAGACATCGGAATGGCTTTTTCGGTTCAGTTGGACCTGCCTGAGGAGCCAAGCACACTGTCAAGAAGGCCGCACCAGCAAGCCCAGCACCAGCCTGTGTTTTTGGCGAAGGCTCCAGTTGCTCCCCTCCCGACTCCATTTGCTTCCAAGGGAGGGGCAAGCACGAGGACATCTTGCACGGCAGCCCGATACCCGCGCTCGAAGGCGGCCCGTTCCTGGTCATTGTACCTGTTCGCCCACTTCCAACCCGAACAGTCGCACAGACGAGAAAAATCTTTGTTGTATGTGAAGTTAGACATGAGTACGAAAAGTACAATTCTTGGTCACTTCCTCGGGCGCTTGTTGGCTCTGCTTACAGCCATGCTCGTGAGATCTCGTGAGAAGGGCCGGGGAGTTCAGGCAGGAGACCTTCGTGTCAAGCACTAGCATCGTCGAGATAACCGGCCATTTTGAGCTGATGGCGAACTGCATCACGCAGACGATGAACATGGCATACCGCTTTCGCTTCGCATAGGCATTCTGACGGTTCTTGGGTGGCATGCTGCAAAAGCCTCACATGCAAGCCGGCGCACAGCTGCGTCACATCATCTCCTGCCGATCACGGCGGCTTTGTCATGAAAATACCATGTAGCCTGATGTGTTCCTCTGTCTTGCGAGCAAAGCCTTATTAAACAGCACGTGTTTCTTAGGTCGGCATGGGCGGGGGTTGTGCATGCATGTGATGACCTTTTGAGACACTGAAGCTGCATGAACTGACTGCTCGAGACAACTTTTAAGCCTTAAGCTGTTTATTAGTCATGGTAGTTCGGCTGAGGTGCAGACTTGTCGTATGCTCAAGCTCGAAGAGTCTTTGTGCCAGAACCTGCTCCACACGAGCATCATGCAGCGATGTCAAGCTTGTCAAAGGCCACAAGGGGGCCGAACTGCGCAAATTTTTCTCTGCGTGCCTTGCGGAAGCCCGGACGCAACGCGCCACCACGGCCTTGGCTCATGATGCCAACCTGGGCAGTGGCGAATGCGGCGATAGGTTCAGCCATGTTTCACGTTGGCTCCAATCTGTCGACACGCCTAGGATGAATGCTTGGATGCTACTCATTCAGTCAGTCTAACTTGCCAGGGCCACATACGCAAGCCACGGTGTACCTACGACTCTATTGGCCTATTGGTACTACCACCGGATGCCTCACCAAAAGAAACTGTAGTGGGAGTGTGTTGTAGTCTTGAATAAGCACCCCAGCACCTCCAGTAGTAATTGGAAAAAAGCCGCTTCAGACTTGGAGCTTCTTTTCATTCTTGCAGTGGACCCAGACTTCGACTCTCATTTCCAATGCAACTCGAACCCATCGTCTAGAGCGAAACGTGTTTCAACCGCTGAGAAAGCAGCTCAGGTCATCATGCCAGACACCGCTGCAGATGTGAGGTGTCTACATGACAATTAGTTTCAGACTGGTTGCGTGAGCCTGCCTCTGCTTGATTACTAACAACATTCCGTGTCCACGCAATACTAGGCTTGTCTCGTACTCAGGTGCTGGGCCACCGTGCTGGCGAATTGACATTCGATAGAACGGCTGATCATGACACTTCGATGGTTTGCCGTCGCTGCTCTCGTGCCTGAAATTTCCTGAGCATGCAATTCCTGCAGAGTCGCTGCTGCGGCTTCAGAGATGCCTGATCTCAACGGTGCTCTCGGATGCAAGGCCACTGCAGAGTTTGACAGCACCATGCTGGAAGCTCTCGTTTTCATCAGCTTTTCGCACAGCCAGAGCGCTCCAGCCTGCGTCATCTTCGAGCTGCTACCACCTGCCAGCATACGCGGGAACTGCTGCTTGCAGATAATCGTCGGAGCTTCTAGGTTTGGGTCCGCAGGCTGCATTCTCAGTTATGATGGCCGTTGCGCAGGAAGCTGTCTCTCCCCTGTATTGTTACATCCGGCCGTGGATGTTGCAGCCCCACAATGAACGGCTAATCCCTTACGCACTCTGCGTTGGAAGCCACTCTGACGAATCTCGGTCACCGAGCCCACCCCTGCCAAAACTGTTCACTGAAGCTCCAAGTATCAGTGCCCTGGCTCCCTGGTATTTCAATCCCTAGCCCTGCCGGCAACTGCATGCGAACCGTCGAAGCCATGTCAACTTGCTACAACGCAATGGCAGCGGCCATTCCCATGCCTCAATACATATCCAACCCTGACATGTGTCCACACTCCAGAGACAACCTACTGGCAGACCCATTCCTCTCACCCGCAAGCTGGGCAAAGGACTAAATACGGCAAGGGCCGAACAGCCTCACCAAAACCGCTCCCTGATTTTTGTAAACACAAGAACACAATGTTCGACTAGCAACCCATGGCCACAAAACGAAAACTGTGAAAGAGACTTCGCAGCAGGAACACCATACATTCCCCATGCAAGCCAAATCTCAAACTAGACGGTGGTGTCAATGGCTAGTGTTGCTTCCTCCTGACCTCTCGGTAGGTCGAGCCAAACACCCGCGGAACGGGTGCCGGTAGATAGCGAAACCCCGAGCTTGACCGCACCTTCTAGAAGAAAGTGGGAGGTTGCACTGAAAGTTCACTTGCAAAAAGGAGCCACGCTGCTTGCTCGGTTAAGCCAAGGTTTTCGCGAGGGGATCCGTTGCGAGGGCCGAGTAGATGCAGTCTCCAACAAGGGAGCTGAGATTAAGAGCGAGTGTGCTCAGTTTGCCATGTACACGTGCACGTGATGCAAGAGGATGCAACTTGAGGTAACCCCCAATCGCCTCGGAGGCAAACAAGACTTGCTGACAGAGTCTTTTGAAGCAGGGGCCGCTTCTCGTTTCAAGCCACCACAATCTTCAGATCCAACCATGTCGAAACCCGCTGGGCCTGCTGCAGCTCGGGTGCCGTTGGTGGGTCGCAACCTGGTCCAACGAACGTTACCCATCTACTCCAAGGCACCGTCGATTCGTCTATGTTTTGCCAACATGCAGCAGACGTTTATGCAACTGCCGCAGTCTGTGCCTGCACGGGAAACGTTGATGGCAGCAGCCGTCACAGCTGCAAACATAATTTCTCGGAGGCGCAAAGCCGCAGCCTATCAATCTGCAAGGCCGCAGAATCGCAGATCTCATGGGTGCTGGCACAGTCTGACTTCTGCCGTAATGGGATAGCATGCTTTTGCAGATGCATCCTCGTAAGCCCGCCCCTCGTGGACGCAAAGACATGTACGTCGGCACCTCATCAAAAGGGGCGGAACCCACCTGGACAGAACTGATGGCTAGGGTCGCATGTGGCTTGGTCTAGGGTTTTGACTCTCGGGTTTGCGTAGAGCCATCACCTACATCACGGCATGAGCACACTCGCCATTTGCCTCAAAGGCGGAGCTTTCGGTAATTGAAAGGAGGCATGACGGGCAGCCAGTGCTTGGCATCAGCCACCCGGAACTCCGACAAGAAGACGTGCACTTGCCATCTCCACATTTCGATGTTGCCCCTCTTGCATTTGCAGGATATGACTCAAACAAACCATTAGCACGCTACTCAAACGGAATATTGCAAACTTTGACTCAAACAGAATATTAGCAAACTTACGGCTTATGGGCAAGCAGCACTGGGTCCCCAAACAAGGTCTGGATTGCGCTGCTGCGCCAGCCTTTTCAGCACTGGAGTCTTTGCAAGGAGGACTGCTCAGCAAAGCAGACCTCGCCGGTAAGGTTCTAGACCTGCTCCCGTGATGTAGATCACCTTTAGCGAAGCGAGGGCTTCTCAGCCCAGGCCAGCATTTAACTTGCAGACTACACAATCAAGCTAACGTACACCTTTAAAAAGTGTGGAGGCAGTGCCAGCAGTCACAAAGCTTCGCGTGAGCTGGCCCAAACTTATGCGTGGCGTGAGGGAACTTTGCACTTAGCACCACAGGCAGTTCGTGGAAATGTGATGGGCTTGAGGGTAATGGGGAGGCAAGGACCGAGAGAGGGCGGCTGGTCATCCCAGACTTCGGCCTAATGTCAGACTGCACATGGAAAACGTGCAAAGAGTTTCGGCATGGTGCAGCATGCCAGGGCTGTGTCAAATTAAGCGCAGGGTCTTTACATTAAGGCAACAGCCGGACAGCTTGTCGCCACTATCCTGTAGCTGTTCATTCACATTCGACGGGCTTGGGCAGATGGGAGTCTTGGGGACAACATTGGAGATATCGAGGTCCAATTGCGAGTCCGAGCCGGAGCCAGCGTAATTACAAATCCTGATCTCGCCGTGTAGGTTGCCGACATGGGATCCCCAACTGTTGCTGAGGGCAATGCTGAAGCCTTTTCCTGATCCTGCTCCTCGAAGGCTTACGACTCCATAGCCGTCCGGCTCCTCAAAGCCATCCACCAACCCGGTCATTGCCATCAGGGTAGACACTGGGTGCGATTTCATGTGTGCGCTTTCCATGGCATCATCTACCTTGTAGATAGCAACGAGGAGGTGGCGTGTCTGCACCCACTTGGTGCTGCACACTCCTGGCTTGGTCTTAAGGGTGATCTTGCTAAACCGCGCACAGCCATCCTTGCTCGGCGCATTCCTGGAGTGCTTGGTTCCTTCGCAGTACTGCCCCCAGAAGGAGACATGATGATCACCAGGAGGAAGCCCTGTCGCTCGCAGATTTCGGATCTGAATAAACAAACAGCCACCTTTCTCATCGACGTGGTATGGCTTCATCAGCGGCATCTGAAAAACCGCACTCACCGGAGAGTGGTCACTGGTGCACAGTGTAGGAGAGCTCGTGTAGGAGCCAGGTTGCAGCGTGACATCCTCTGGTCAGAACAAGTCTGTACTTTTGTTTTGGCGAGGATGCTAAAGTTTGATGCTAGTAGCTTTGTTCAAACCAAGCGTCGACATCAGGAAACGACTGCCACAACACGCGATCCGTCCAGGAAGGCACTCTGCCCTTCTTGGGGTCGTAGGCTCGCAGACTTGTCTCGGGATCCGGCGGCATTCCTTCAGGGCCGAGTATGTGCAGCACAGATTGCAAAAAGAACCGATCCCCGGCGCCTGGGATGTGCTGATACGTCGGCGGAAAGTTGAGAGGGCCTGCCGGCACCAACATCAACTGTGAGGCTCCAATCTCTCCCAATGCACCACGTACAACACTGCTCTGGGCCGAAGCCTTCTTTGAAGGTCCAGAAAGCTTTTTCCTCTTGTTGTACCTGCCCAGGATACCCTGAACCCTCTCGATGGTTGCTCCTGGATTCAGGCTTCAATCATTAGGGGGCACGAGTGCCACTTAATGTCATGTCCGCCACGTACAAGATGCCACGGGGACATGGAATTGCATTCTTCGACAACTGCATGGAAAAGCCGACTCGCAAGCAACCCTTAAAGCCTTAAAGTAACCCTTCTAGTAGCCCAACGCCTTTAGGAGCTGGTCGTGTTCCCGCAGCGTCTCCCAGTCTTGCTGGCAGATCAACTCCTCGCATGCCTCGCGAGCAGTACCCGGCAGTACCGGTTGTGCTCTGAGGTAACTTGTAGAAGCCCTTCTCTACCCCTTGTGGCAGCAAGGGGCGGATCAAAGCAGCAAGGGCAGGGAATGATGGGAAGGATGTTCATGCAAGGCAGGGGCTGTAAGGCTACTACACGGGCTGACAGATGACCCAGAATCAGCCGAGGCCATGTCTGCTTGCACAGGGACTGGCCTCTCTATGCAAGTCAATGCGGTAGTTAAGATCGCCTTGGCTTGTGCTCGTTGTTCCAAGGCCGGACCGCCCGTCCGATTCAATTTGGCAACAACTCACATGCTCTCGCCATAACCACCATCGCACGATCCGGCTAAGTTTGGCATTATTCCACAGTGCTAGCTGCTATTCGAGAAAAGCCACCGACCCAGAAGACATGAGTAAACCTGAGTACCAGCGATCTGGTCAAGGAGAGCAATTCCACCACGCAGCGCATGGCTCACTACTCAAGAATCGCATAAGTGCACACGAAGAGCTGGTGCGTCAACGGCCTGAGCTGATCCTTCGTCAGACAGATGCCCTCGATTATGTGGGCGGTGTCGCTGTTGCGGCGGTCAATATTGGTTTGATGTGCTGCAAGATGCGAGCATACGAAGCAGACACTCGTATCTCCGATCCAGAAAGACATTGCCAGCCCACCCTTGTTGGCAAGGAAACCGCCAAGGCCCGTTTCCTCATGACATGCCACCACATTATGAATGGACCTGCTGATTCTTTCCTTTGCGTAGCACAGGATCTGGCAGTAGCCCATCTCATGCTGGCAAACTTGTACCAGGCCAGGCAGGTTCTCATCCACCGTTGCACGCCAATCCTTTGCACAGCTGTCTATCCATGGTCGAGGGTGATAGTTGCACTCCTGCACGCCGATCAAGTAAATGTCGTAGCCGGGCTTTAGCCAATCCTCAAATAACAGGACATCAACACCTCTCCGTGAGATAAAATTTCGTTCTGTGGCGGGACACCTGCAAATCATCCGGAGGCGGCGCGTTGCCCATATTCCATGTGCCGGCAAACACTGTCAGCACCACTTTGTCTTTTTTGCCCCACCTGAGTCTTCGGTTGGGACATCCTTGCTAGCATAGCTACCAGGCAGCGCTTCATAGCCCCAAACAAAGAAACAGGAACACCGGCAACAAGGAACAACTCGCTCGTCCGTCCGCCAAACCGTGTCCCGTCCCGGAACTGTATAGTGCGGAGATGCTTGCATGCCTGAATAAAGCGGCCGCAATGCGCCCCCATCGGCTCACAACACCAGGACAAAGATGCGACTCTATAGGTTAGGACTAGAAGTTGTCAGCTCAATCCCAGGCTGTCACGCGATCATACTGGTTTGATGCAGAAGGCCACACGAATACAGTTAACACAAGACATCGCCACTTCGAGCCAATGCACAAGTAGGCGCAGGAGGGCAAAAGCACGGCCGTAGTGTGAAATGTCTCGGCTTCTTATGATTCTTATGATTGTCACGCGGCTGAATCACGGCCCACGCAGACTCAGGCTTGCGCGAGCTGCGCCCTCAACGATTTGCCGCCATCCTGCTTTTCTTCTCGCATGACTGTCTCTAAGCGCGTGGAAGCTGTTCGAGCTGCTAGTCGTACTACCTCACCAAAGCAAAGACCGGGGCGCATTGAGATGACTGCCACGGCTTCATGGCAGCAAGAGACATCCTTTTTGTTCCAGCATGCCATGGTCTAGATCCAGCGGGGCACCTTCCTGAGCTGCTGTGCTGCAATGGAGGTTTGCCGGAGATGCCATGAGCCGGGGAGGGGGCCAGCATGAGTCGACTGTCCTGGCCCAGTACGCCAAGATCTTCCAGGGCTCGCCCGAGAAGATCGAAGTCCTAACAACGACATCGAGCCAATGCATGATAATGGCATAATACATAAGTAGGATCATGCGAGGGAGCTGCCTCTGTGAGCCGTGGCTTCAGACGGGCAAAGATGACTGCAGTGAATGTCGGTGCCGCGCCTCCTCGGAAAGCTGCTCTCCGAACTCCGCCATGCAGGCCGTGGCCAGCCTCTCATCAGCAACGACGATCGTGCCATGTCGACGTGTCTAGAAAAAGGCAATGGCTGCAGCTGCCTGATGATTCCAGGATGTGCATATGCCAGAGCAGCGCAGGCACGAGCTGCCTGAACAAACAGTGACAGGTCTGCATGTGGGTTTCGCTGTGTCTTCCTGCTGCAAGCCCGGAAAAGTACTACCCTTGGCACATGGCCTGGATAACCAAAGCCGGTGCCAGGTCCTTCTCGCGAGCCACGACAGCATCGGCCAGCAGCTTGATGCTTTCGGCATGGAAGATGGTGAGTCGAGCATAGGCCTCTGGGCTTGAACTGCATCCCTCAGTGTAACTAGTCAGTTGGCTCTGGCCTCCAGAAGCCCAACCAAGGAACTGATGCGAGGCACAGACATCTGCCCCTGCGCGTCTGTGTCCTGGAATCTCTCCGCTCCAGACCATCATCTGTATGAGATTGCTGCGAGTGGGCAGACACGCTGCCGTAAACCAGAGGTCGGAGTGAGGATGGGAGGAGATCAGGAGTCAGGAGGGAGACAGCAATTGAGAGCCAAGAGCTCGACACGTGGAATTTTCGTTTGTCAGCTCCTCGGTCTCGGCATGTCCATCAATTCGGACACCCATTCCAGCCTCTGAACAAGGCAATGCTGCGAGCCGAATCGAATCGAGTATGAGATGTGGCTCGGACATGTCGAGGTGGCCTCTGGAATTGCGAGCTTTCGGCCGGGAAGAGCAGAGCTAATACTTTCGAAGAGGCGCGTGTGAGCCATCTGGAACCGTCCGTACGCACGGCCCACCTGAACGAGAATGATTTGAGATTTTGCGGCACATTCTTCATGATCAGAATGATACCGTGCAACTTTCAGCTAGGGCAGGGGCCATGCAAAGCTCATCTGTGGTATAACTGTGGCAATACAGTTCGACATGCTCTGGGGCATTGAAGAAAAGCATGCCTGAATCCACGGGTGGCCAGCAGATGTTTCTAGCCTGTATTGTACGGTGGCACATAGTCAGCGCATCCACAGGATAAGTGCAAACGTGGACGGGCGGCCATGACGGATGTCGACTTCGGAAAACGAATAGAGGATCGTGGCAAGCGCCCGAGGATACAACCTTACATGATCAGTCGGAGCTTGCACACACTTGGCCCAACTGAACCGTTCTACAATGTTCTACATTTTGTCATAACTGCACAGCCTCCGAAATGAAGGACCCAGGCAGGGGTGCTCGCAATAAACCCAACAACAGGATCAGTGGCCGGGCACCCTGAACAGTCGGCTGCAAGAAGAACAGGGAGGGACTAGACTCGAAACGACTGGATAATTGAGAGGGGGAACATTTCTGGGAAATCTCCCCACCATCCTGGAAGTCATCAGAGAAGAACTCAGGATTTCCAATCATGCTCAAACATCAAGCCAGAAACTCCACAGACTAAATTGCCGGAGTCCACTTTCAAGAAATAAGTTGGGAGGACATCCCCGCAATGTAGGTCTTACCATGCCCTGCATGCGAGCAGGCCACTGCTTCTTGGGAGGCAGCAGCTCACAGGTGTAGAATGATTTGGACTTTCGACCCTACTTACTCGCATTTGGACCAGAAGCTGTGAGGCATTTGCACATGCATGATCTCCAATTTTCGCCTTGGCCATGGCAACTAATGATCAAATTCAATGGGTGTGTAACCAAGGGGCCTGCGCTGCACAAATCACGCATTGAAGCAGTTTGTGGTCACAAACTCTTGCTGCGACATCTGCAGACTACAACATGCGACAAGATCATCATTCAACAGTAGCCGAGTTTCAAACAGTGCCTCGTCTCCGCGACGCACTCGCGCATACGCGCTGGCCACAATACAGAGCGACTGTATGTTGTGGGCTCGTATGCGACGAGGTACTTCTTGTGCAAAGTAGTCCTGAAATGAAAGGACCCGGCTGAATCACAGTTTGCCTCTGGTTTACCAGTGGCCTGTCCGTGTTGGTGAGCTGCAAATTTGGTACTAGTACCGTGCATATCTTCTGGGCATAACACGCATGATTCCATCATGTGTTGGGTTCCAGCTACGCCGGGTGGAATGTTACGTTGTGGGGTTCGGAGGGACGGACAGAGGGAAGGATGCACACGGTTTCCTTCAGGCTGCGATTCACAGACCTCCCTTCTCGGTCTGTGCATCGATTGTCTGACCAATGCACTACACCGTATCTGCCAGTGGCAAAGCATGCATCGATCTGTGAAACACAAACCATGCGACTAAGGGAACTTCCATCTGTTAAAGGTTGTTCGTCTGCTGGCCACTGCATTGCCTCGGCCTGGCCATAGTGACATTGAGGATTGTGTCCTTGTTTTGCAAGGTGTTCTGCCCTTCGCAAGCACTCCTGCTCCGAGGTCGTGTGGAGTTCCGACACATGTTTCGGCATCGTGTTAGAATGGCTAGGACGGGTTGCCGTCGCTGTCGCTGTGCGCATGTCGCCATGTCCTATGTTGCAGGTGCCCTCCCGCTTTGCAATTGCCCGGCCGCGCAATGCCGGAGGAAGCAATCTTTTCAGCTGTCAACGGCGCGGACTACTTACGGTTCCTGCTGCCGGCGACGCCTGATGTTTAAAGTCTGGCTGCAAGCATGACACCACAGCATGAAGACAGTTTGCACAAGTTCGCAAAACCGCAAACTATGCCTTTGTGCAAACTTTGCATGTCGCGGAAGTTGGCTGATAGGTCAGCGGGTGGATGCAACGTGCAAACAGAAGGGTTGTTCTTCCCGAAGCCGAGTAGCAAAAAGCACAGGATTCGACATCTGGAGGCGCGCATGCGCATTGAGGACGAGAGCAACGGCTTGGGGTTCCAGTTCGCCTCGCCGGCGAAAAGCCTCGTCCCCCAAGAGCTCCAGCAGAAAACCTCGAACACAAATTCGAGGTTTAGGGTGGTTTGGGGATATTTTGGGGTTTAGTTTGAGCTGGGAGACGATTGCGGACGCCAAGTTTCGCATAGGCATTTGCCACGAGCGCAAGCCTCGCAGCAGGAAGACAGCTCCGTACCACAAGCTACACCCGACCACTAGCGGCTAGCACCCCTGAGACCATGGTACAAGCTATTACAAGCTGGGAGACGGCTTGCTCTCAAACTCAGAGATCTTCTTTGCAATCTCTGCAGCCAGGACAGTGAAAAATCTTTCGTCGCCTCGGCCATAAGAACCAAGTGGCTGCTGGGAATCGCGCCGCAAGCACGACATGGCAGTCGAGCGTCTCGCTCCGAGCCTTGCGAATCCGTTCACTACCATGGCCAGATGCCACGGTTTCATGGCTTTGACCACCTGAGGATCTGCAGCTTAAGGCTTATAAGGCTGAAGCACTGGATCGATCCCGCACACAGGGAAATCTTACGCGTGCAAGGAGTTGAGCTGGGGAAATGGCTTCCGTGATTCTCTTTTTGAGTACATCCAGAAGCAAGTCATGGTGAAAATTGAGGCGCGCATATGCATAGACCTTGGTATAGAGCATCAGGAAACGGCAGGCTGGGCGGTCGCAGTTGCAATTGCGCACCACTCCTAATGATGCCCGACACAGCGGACAAGTAGGGGCGCTGTGACTCGTTGCTGATGTGACACTAGCTCGCCAAGTTGAGCAGCATCAAAGTCGTGAAGCTTCCTCCGGTCACTTTGAACGGCTTCAGGTTCATCCGCATGGAAGTTGCTGGGTGACTGCAAGGACACCCCTCAAAGTTCAGAACCGGAAATCGCCGCCTGGCTTAACTCACGCTTCGTTTCGAAATCGCAACTCGGGACTAGTGAGGAACCCGGCTGGCCTGGCAATCTCTCTGGCAAACAGGTTGAAGACGAGCCTGTGCTCGACGTCCAGCCGGGCAAAGGCAGCCAGGAAGTGCCTGAGTTTCAAAGTACATCCGAGCCCTACCAGCTACTAACATAATACCTTACGGCATCTTTTCGTTGTCAGCGCAGGTCTCCTTGTTGGATCGTCAGGTCCCACAGTCGTACCACTGCCGTCGCAAAACTGACAGAAGCAAAACTGCCGTAAGTAGAAGCTAATTCTCATCGAAGTTCGTGATATCAGTGGCCGCGAACTGTCCCAGAATGGCCGGAGTAGACTCAGCGATTCGAAGCATCATTTCGCGGTCTCGCAACCGCAGCCGGGCAAACGCACCAAGGACCATAGACATTTCCTGAACGTGAAGGAAGATATGGCAGCAGTAGGGGTCACAGTGCAGTGTAAAAGAAGGCGCAAAGCGTGCTGGGCCCAGCTCTCCGGGCTGCATGGTCGGCGCCACTACCATTGCTCGGGCAGACAGTGCCCGCCAAAAGCTTACGCTTTTGCGATTTTCTCTGGCTGCACCTGTGCAGAGGCAAAGCGTGTAATCAGCACTCTGCTATACATTGGCAAACGCTACATACGCAACACCCATCTTCGAAGCCCTCTTTGCCGAGGTGCGAAATGCCTGGGATGCGATGCAGAAGAGAGAATGGAACATTACACTAAAGCACTGCAACTCGCTAAAGTGTGCTCGGATACCATAGGGTGAAGTAGAGGCATTTGTCACGTGAAGAAGACATCACCTCGAAGATCATAAGTGTCTACCACGGTCTTTCGCATCCACTGATGTTTGTTTCTTTGTTGAGAGCTGCTTAAAAGCCCGTCCGGGACACGGACTCAGCCCTGGAGAGGCCAAGCATCCTAAACTTTCGGGTTCTGGGAGAGCACCCCGCGAAAGCATCGAGAGGCCTGTTTGCATGTCTTGAACCCACTTGAAACTATCTCGTGTGTAACTATTTATCAAAATAAAAAAATTTGCTTACATCACATCCCGTAAGTGACTTATAAGTCCCAGCCGTCACATACCTAACTCCCCTAACCTTTTGACTTTCTACCTTGTCCTCAACACTTACCAGATCACACACACATATGTAGATATATATATATATATCTACATACATACATACATACATACATACATACATACTTACATACTTACATACTTACATACATTTTTAGCACTCGCACTCGACGCATCACTGTATGCATACATACATACATAAACATACATACACATGCACACACATATACATACATACA